AAGACCAGGACCCAGCAAGACCAGGACCCGGCAAGACCAGGACCCAGCAAAGCAAGACCCAGCTAGCAAAGCCAGGACCCAGTAAGACCAGGACCCAACAAGACCAGGACCCAAAAAAGCCAGGACCCAGTAAGACCAGGACCCAGCAAAACCAGGATCCAGCAAGAAAAGGACCCAGCTAGCAAAGCCGGGACCCAGCAAGACCAGGACCAAGAAAACCCAGGACCCAGCCAGGACCCAGCTAGCAAAGCCAGGACCCAGTAAGTCCAGGACCCAGCAAGACCAGGACCCAGCAAGACCAGGACCTGTGAGGAAGGTGGCCGGCGTGGCGTGAGCTCGACACAGACTGTTTGTGTGTTTTCTCTAGAGCTGCAGGAGGGCGGCGATTCATTTTCATGTCGGCTGTTGCCGTGGCAACGGGGACACCTGAGAGAGGCTGAGATGGCCGATGCTGATGTGGAGAATCTGTGGACAGACAGAGGGATGAGAATAGGAAACCAAAACGGGGATGCAGAGGAGCCTGCTCCTCCATTTTGAGCCTGATGGGGGTGAAGAGCCCCCCCCCCCCCATCAAGTCGTCTCCCTTCAATTATTAACTCCATAAAAAGCTTCATCTGTCTGTTCGTTAATAATGCATCTTTAAATGGGAAGTCCCCTGCGTGTGCACGTGTGTGCGAGCCTGGGTGGAGTAGGAGGGTGGAGGACCCCTCTGCAGATGCAGATGTGCCTTCAGCTTTCAGCCCAAACCAGCAGAAACTCCTTCCAGATGTTGTGAGACGAGGACATCCAGTCAAAACCTGTCCAGCTTTGTGCTTCTCAGAGGAGAAAATAACTGGCTGCGAACGCGTCACAGGCAGCAAAGGCCTGGAACAGGAAAGGCTGGGCTCCTCTGATGTTTAATTATAGAAGCTACTGCTGCAGATGTGAGGACGGAGCACATCTGGAGTGGTGTGCCTGCCCCCCCGAGAGGCTCCTGAGAGGCCGAGCTGCAGCTGAGTGGAGGCAGGAAGAGGCTGACCTGGCCTTTGTTCCCCCTCATTCCCCCGCAGGCACGCGGGGATGGGGCTGCTTTGATTTGGGCCTGTAGGGGGCAGCGTTTGTGTGTGTGTGTGTGTGTGGGGGGGTGTTTCTTTAAATGCAGCAGCAGATCAAACAGATGTGAATCCACTCATCTCTCAGCAGCTTTGTACCTCGTCTACGTCAGGAGACGGGTCGGCTGGAGGCCACTAGCCGCTAGTTGCTAGCCACTAGTCGCTAGCCACTAGTTGCTAGCCGTTCGTGATACTAGCCCACAGCAGCACTGGTGTCCACTTGTGTTCAGAGGATTTGGATTCAGCCCCCCCCCCCCCCTCCCCGGAGGCGTTTGATGTGCCTGGTTCTCATCACATCTCCCTCTCTCTGCCTCTCCACTTCCTTTTGTGTTTGCTGCTCAAGTGCTGCTTCTGTTGATCAGATGCTCATGGAGAAAAGGCTCCAAAAGGCTCCAGGGTGTGTGTGTGTGTTGGTGGGGTGGGGGGTGGGGGGGGGCAACACGACGGGGGCCCGGTGTGTTTGGACTCTTAATGAAGCTGATCGGAGGCCCCTCTCTCCTGCTCCATCCCCACAGTTCCCAGCTCCTCCAGCCTTTGTGCCCCCACCCCCTGAACTGGAGAGGTGCATATGTAAAAGGCTGACATTCATCTGGCCCTGCGCATTTTTTGCACTTGTGAGCGCCCAGTTTACAGGAGATAAAAGGCGTCCTTTTGTTTTTCCCTGGGCCGCGATGGTGAGCCAGAGCTTTAGGCGGCTAATGGGGAGCGCAGCTGCCAGCAGCCTTCATTTGCAGCGTCTCCCCAGGGCCCGTTCACAGGGTTGCTGAAAATGCCTCAACACCGTGTTGTGGCCATTCAGCTTTGCTTGCTTTGCATTCACTCCGCGCAGATACGGGCCCAAAAGGGCTGCGGCCGCCTTAAGATGGCTGCACCTGTCAGGGTGCAGAGGAACGAGAGCCTGCTGGGCCTCACGGGGGGTCAGCAGAGGGAGGCTCCGTCCAGCTGACCTCATAGGGAATAGAGAGAGGGTTTCCTTTTGGAAAACTGGTGTTGTTGTCAGAGCGTTTTCAGGTGTACAGGGCGTGTTTAGAGGATGTTCAGAGTGTGTTCAGTTCGGGGGGGGGGAGCAAAGATGGAAGATTAAGTGCATCTGTTGTCAAAGCTCCCAGTCAGCCAAGCAGCAAGAGCCTCACTGCTGCTTTCCAGTTTTGTTTGGTAGAAGCTTCTGCTATACACACACACACACACACACACACACACAAAACCACACACACACACAGAACCACACAAAGTGCACGTTCTGCCACGCCATGCACGCACAGGCGCACTCTGGCGTCGTGGAGCTGCTGTTATTTATATTTCTGCATCAAAGCATCAAACGGAGTGTAGCCGTGCGCTCTGCCGTGCGCACGCTTGCCTGTGAAAATAAGATAATCTAATTTACCAGCACTTATCTTCTAATGGCTGCAGCATCCCAGGCGTGCACGCTCACATGCACGCTCACATGCGCGCTCACATGCACGCTCACATGCACGCTCACACGCACGCTCACATGCACGCTCACACGCACGCTCACATGCCATCATATGATTGGAGGAGCCTCCTCTTCCTGCTCTGGGTGTCTCACACTCAGCCTCCCATCATCCCCTCTGCCCGTCTCCCGGAGACCGTTACCGTAGCAACCAGGCAAGCCCGCCACCCCTGTGCTCTGTGGTCCCATCTCACACCGTGGACCAGGGCCGGCCGGCCCTGTTCTGTGCATATCGAAGTTTCACTGCGTAGCATTTCAGTTCAATACGGTATTTACGCGTTTAATGGAAATACCTCTAAATTTCCCAGGATAGGGATAGTTTGATAGTCTGTCTCTATTCTCAGTTTCAGACTAAAACGTCCAGTTAATTCAGAAGTTCATACAGTTAATATTTTAGTTAATTTACTAAGAGTGCATTTCCAAAGTTGTAAGGTACGTTATTCAACTATTTAGATATTTCTGTTTCACATTCATTATTTATATATTTAAATGTTCAATGTTTCCTACGTCAGAAATAATCTATTGAATCTGATTTGGATTCAGGCATCTCATTGGTTAGTTCAGTCATGTGAGTAAAAAACCAGGATATTAGGATGTTACAGGAGCAACATCATTTGAGCAAAAGTTTTGTGTCAAATTTGCTCTAAATATGTGATGAAATGAACAGCAAAACTACCAGATGAAGATTAACGCAGGACGATTTAATAGTGTGGGAGAGTTAATATTCTTTTGTGGAACTTAATGGAAACCATTCTGCCTTATATGCTACAAGTTACAGGCATAGTCAAAGAAAAAATGAATCTAAATTATTATATTTTTGTTTGTGGACTTGGTTAAAGTGAAATTGAGTCAGTTCACACAATGTTGACTGTTCAAACATGACTGTGGTCTTTGTATTTGTGGTGTAGGAGTCCATTTCTGACATTATCAGACTGTACTGTTATCTGATCGGAGCTGGTTTAGGAAAACTGCGTTGCTGATGTAACCTCCTGAGAACCAAAGCTTTTATCTGGTGTGTGTTTTTGCTTTGTTCCACATCTCTAAATCAGTTGGAGCTAATAAGTTTAATAACTAGACTTTGTCCTGGTAGTTCCTCCATAGAGGGTCAGTGGGTTTATCTTTAGATTTGAAATGTCTGTTAATAGATTTTATTAAATATTTTTACTATTTGGCTCTGAGGGTCCACATGACTTATTTACAACATTTTAATTCCACAATAACACAGATTGGTGTAAAATGTGAACCTTTAGATTTCAAACATTAAACAAGCAGTTAACGCTGAGATTTCTGAGTTCTTTGAACATATCCATGAATTTCCTTCATCGAAAGATGTAAAAATGGATTTTTCAGTGTTTTTCCAAAGAAATCCCCACACAGATTTTCCTCTCCATTGAAATGGATCACACACAGTATCCTCTCCTTTCTCAGGTCACATGGGACAGCGTGCCCTGCTCCCATTGGCCTGTTTGTATAAAATGTCTTAAAGCATTTTCCTTTAGATTTCAAACAGTAGTGTCTGATAGCGTCGGCTATGATGCCAAGAGGTCAAAGATCAAAGAAAAAAGGAAGAATCCTGGTTTCAGAGAGGCAGAAACGCAGCAGAACGGGCTCTCAGGAGGGTGAAGGTCCAAAGCTGTGGAATAAAGTGTGTCCTGGGCCTGTTCCCAGCAGAGAGGCTGCTCTGAGCCTCCTGGACAGAGCGGCTCATCTCCGATCCTGTGACTCCCTTCAGGTCGAGCTGGATGAAGCGATTTCACGGCCCAGAGCTGCACACAGTCGTGTCTTTGTCTGAGGCCGAGGCCGGCCGCTGTCACCGTCTGCCGTCCGGTTATTCTGATCCTTTTATATCCTGCCTGCGTGAGTCAGAGCCCAGCAGAGCAGACGGGGACACGGCCTCCCCCAGATTTTGGAGGAACTGGTTCACTAACCCAGATATTAGCAGGAATGTGGGACAGCCACCAACCCCGCCTCCCACTCCCCCCAGCCCCCAGATGTTAGCATTTCAGGTCTTAAATGTCCTAAATGTGCTCTGGTCCCTGAAGGGGACGCAGCTGCATCCCAGAATGCATTGCGGACAAAGAGAAGAGGAGTTTCAGTAGATTTCTGCTGTGGTCCTGACTCGGTTTGGCTCCTGTTTGAACCCTCTCCTGCACACTGCAGCCATTTTCTGTAGGTTCTCAGGTCTTAAATGTGCTCTGGTCCCTGAAGGGGACACGGCTACATCATGCAGTAAACATTCAGAAATATGCCCCCAAAATATCCTGATACAGGAGCTGAGAGCCTGAAATAAGCTGAGGGAGGAGACGGCGTCGAGTTTGAGGGCAGGATGAGTTCTGTACACATTCAGAATTAAGCAGAAAGACACCTGGAAACCATCAGGAAAAAAACCCATTTCTGACCAAAAAAAGCGTAACTTTGTTTTTAAAAAAAGCACTGAAATGATCAGAACTGGGGCAGGGAGGGGGTCCCGGACCCCGGTGGCTGCCGCCGGCGTCCCACAGGCCTCTGAGTTGGGCCCCCCGCACATCTGGATGCAGCCGGTCACTCTGGGTTCTGAGGAGGACAGACAGACGGGGGCCGCTGTCTGGTGGGGCCCGAGTGTGCCGCGGTGGCATTAACCAGGCAGCAGATGCCGGGTTAATGCCACCAAACGGCCCCCTGGAGACTCCCGGGCTCTGCCTCTGTGTCCTGTCCACAAATACCAGCAGCAGAGGGTTCCACGCCTGTGAATGCAAACGCGTCCTTTCGGAGCCTTTTGAATGCAGAGGAGGCAGCAGGGAGCATGTATGGAAGTGATTAGTGTTTATCCTCCTGAGAGCCCAGCTTTCATTTCTGCTTTGCTCCAGATCTCTGGATCAGTAGGAGCTAATAGGTTTAATAACCAGACTTTGTCCTGGAACAGGTAGTTTTTCTTCATATAGGCTCAGTGGGTTTATCTTTAGATTTAAAATGTTTGTTTATAGAGTTAATTGAATGTTTTTGCGATTTGGCTCTGAGGGTCCAAATGACTTATTTACAACATTTTTATTCCACAATAAGAACGTGATTGGTGTAAAATGTCTAGAAGCATTTTCCTTTAGATTTCAAACAGTAAAAAAGCAGTTAAAGCTGAGATTTCTGAGCTCTTTGAACACAACAATGATTTTCCTTCATCTAAAGAACTAAAAAGCTGATTTTTCAACAATTTTCCTTTATCTAAAAACCTTAAAAAGTTGTTTTTTTAATTATTTTCCTTTATCTAAAGACCTGATTTACCTAAATTATTTTCTAAAGAATTCCCCACACAGATGTTCCTCCCCATTTAAATGGATCACACACAGTATCCTCTCCTTTCTCAGGTCACATGGGACAGCATGCCCTGCTCCCATTTGCCAGTTTGTGTAAAATGTCTATAAGCATTTTCCTTTAGATTTCAAACAGTAGTGTCTGATAGCGTCTGCTATGAGGCCAAGAGGTCAAAGGTCAAAGAAAAAGAAGGCTCCTGGTTCAGGGAGGCAGAAACGCAGCGTCTCAGGAGGCCTTCGGGAGGTAAAGGAGCCACGGGGCCAACAGCAAACGCACTCCTGTC